TTCTCTCTCTCAAATAAATAAATAAAATCTTTAAAAAAAAAAAAAAAGAGGGCACTTGTGATGAGCACTGGATGTTACATATAAATAACGAATCACTAAATTCTCCTAAAACACACGCACAGACACACACGCGCAGCAGGTAGAAATCCCCCAAGGATGGAGCGCGGGTTTGGAGAATTCAGGCCTCTGTAAGTGTCCATTTCAACACTTCCCCTTGTGCACAGTGCGGCCTAAGAAAAGGACCAGCCCCCAAATCCGAGCAGGGCCTGCATGTGTGGAGATTACCTGGCAATGGGGGCAGGCAGGGATGACCCTCAGTCACCTGCTGGCGCTCCTCATTCCACCCTCAGTACCGGACCCCTAGAGTGTGGCCAGGCCCCTGGGTCTCCCCTTATCCCAATGATGAGGGAACAGAAGGCAAGCTGAGGACAAAGCAGAAGCTGACACCCCACAAGTACCCCTCCATGGGATCTATGTGACATTCCTCAGGCTCTCCTGGCTGCCCTAAAGCTAAGGAGAGGAAAAACAAATAGTTAACTTACAGAGATCACAATCCTGCAAGACAGGAGCCTCCCTCAGTTTACAAATGTCTTAGCAATCTACAAGAACAAAGCATTTCTAGCAACCTAGCTTCCAGAAGGAACTGTAGATACAATTAAATGTCTTTATAACCTGCAGCCCATTGACAGATACTTAAAGCGGGCAGAGTGTAATGTCACTCCAGGAAGCTCCAACTATCTTCATGTTAATGCCTTACTAGAAGGAAAATCAACCTTAACTTGACAGTGCCAGGGGTCTAGTTATCTTGTAGGTCTTCTTTAGCACACGACAGTTCTTTCGAAAACCTCCCTTTTCCTCACCTCCCCCAATCCCATAGTGTATAATCAGCGGCCCACAGGTCCTGTCCCCGTGCTTTAATAAACCACCATTTTGCACCAAAGATGTCTCGGGAATTCTTTCTTGGGCGTGGGCTCCAGACCTCACCCCACCAAACCTCACCTATATTCCAAAACCCCATCGCCAACATCCCACGTGGTTAGGGGGTCCCTCTGGTCAAGACAAAAACCAGGGGTCGGGTTTACCTCCCCCATGTGCATGCACTGGTCACCCCTCACAGCCCGTCAGGGGCTGGCGCCTCTGGACCCTGTAACCAGGCTGTGAGCCAGGGCCTCCGCATCCCGAGGCTCTGGCAGCCATCTGTTGCCCCAGTTCCAGGGCCCTGAAACCATAATCGCTGCCCTGGCCGAAAAGATGTGGCGCTGTACATGTGAACCCCCAATCGTAGTCGGGAGCCTCTGATCACTGCCCCAGGCGTACAGATGCGGGGACAGATCCCTCTCTTCTCCTCCAGCCCCTGCACCCGGCCTCAAAGCCCTAGACCTGGCCCGGGGCCCCGGTAACTGGTACAGACCCCGACGCCGCTGCGGCAGGCCCTGGTACCAAGGGCCCCAAAGCCTATACCGCCCGGGGACACTGTAAGAATTAAGTTACTTTGGCGGACTTGCCGAAGCAACGAGCGCACGCGCCCAGGCCCGGACGGGGTGGCGCCACTGCGCCCGCGCGCGCCCAGCTAGCGGCACAGGCCCAAGGTGGGGGCAGGGGCGCCGGCGTGAG